AAATGAAAACAAATGACATGGGGTTTACATCACAGACCCCTGGTCTGATGTTGTCTGACTTATTAGCCAGCTGAATCATATCTGGGTCACAGTATCATTAGTTTTTGCTATGGCATTTTTCATGCAATTGCTTAAGGACCTGCAGAGGATGATTTTTTTTGTAGAAAAATTCCAAAATTCCTCCCTATGAATGAAATTTAGAATGTTTGTGTATGTTTGTTTGGATGTTTGTGTTTGTTTGAAAGGTGAAAATCCTGATTCATGAAACATGTGGTGGCCTCTCGTACGTTGTTCCTCTTTACTCGTGTGATGATAAATCCCACCTGTGCGTACCCAGGTGCTCGTGTCCGTTCTCAGTTATTTACATCCAGAAACACCCTCAATTATCCATATTTGGTCACGCTACACCTTCAGCACGTGAGGGGGTTCCCTGCGTTCTACCTGGGGGGAAAAAAATTTGAAAACTGTTGCCAGAACGAGGGATTGGCTGCCGAAGTGCGAGAGAATCAAAAAAGTTAGAGGTTATAAACGCAGTCGGGAGATAGAAGAGGTTCCAGTCAGGAATAAATAAAAACCTTAATCTGATAAATCGTAGCGTAATCTAGGCTAACAATGATAAATACCACACAAATACCACACAATGCGTAAATTAGTTCCTACGCATGATATGTGCACAGATTTGTTCGTAAGTACAGTGGATGAATGAGGCCCCTGGTGTCATTTGCAGTCTTTTATCAAAACACATTGCATGAGCCCCACAAACAGCTTCTTATTCAAACAATGCAATGCATGTTAGTTTTAATAATTTCATGCTTTATTTTAACTTGCACTTTTAAAAGTTAGGCGTTTCATTAGTAAACACCACCTTGTACACTTTTTAATAATGCTCATAAATCACTGCTGCAGACTGATTTTGGCTAAGAACACAGCATGGCCCAGAAAGGTAGTCATCCTTGGCTGAACCACAGAATCCATCACCAGAGTCTCTGAGGAGAGATTGGAAGGCAGAGTTGAAACACACAAACCTGAACACATGTGTGCGGAAACAAGACACCATAGCTCGTTGATGTTAATTGGTCCATTACAGAGCAGTGATGATGATGGATAATGCTTGGTTGTTGTAGGCTGTCTGTTTTCAGCGTTCAGATGCAGCTTATTTAAAGAGTCCACACCGCAAAAACAACTGCTGTTAAACAACATGCACTTCAGATGGATGAATAAATAAAGGGGTGGCATCATGCAGGTTGACTAAACTTTTGCATTGTAATTTTCCCTTGTTACACACCTTTTAGACATGCATGCCTCCCAGTTATTTGCATTCCTGTTGATAATACAAATAGTTTTTATAGTTTAAACAATCGTGTACATTATCATGCTTTAAACATGCTAACCACATTTTATATACAATATGTATGAATTCTACAGTGAAATAATCACAAAACAGTCTAATGTCTCAGTCACGTTGGAAAGAAGGTTACATCTGTCAGTTTAGGTTGAGGTTGCTGTGTGTCCGGTGAGCTAATGCTGCAGCGCCAGCATTTGCAATTTGACACCGGAGTTCTTTAAAAAAACAGAATCCTGTAAACAGGAGCAACCCAGAAGTTAATTCTTGTACCCCTAAGAAGCCACAACATCTTTTTGTTTTCTTCTAATATTGAGGGAAGAAGGCTAGAGGCTAACGTTGAGCTAACAATGCTAACCGGGAGCTAGAGAGCTAGTCTGTTTTAAATATTTCTCTATCTACTTTTTCAATTACCTACAACTCAATATTACAATGAAATTTATGTGTGAAGTGAATAATGAGCCCATCGTGGCGTTTTACTTCCTTTAAAGAGTCGTTCAGAACTATGACAGCAAGCTAACAGCAAAGACGGCAAACAACCACACTTCCTATAATGCTGGAAACAAACTATTGAAACAAGTGTAGTAAGTGCTCCCTACCGTAACATACCCAAGAGTGTTAACATCAGGTATAACAATGTATTTATCTCCTTATAAACTCACGGAACGGCAGTGACAAAACGTTTTTATTGATCTGGAAAATAGACTGCGATATCCTAATTTGACCCCATTATGTTATTTTATCTTTAATAAGATTTAAGATGTCAGCTCGTAATTGTTCAAAAGCCTATGTAATTATAAAATTATGAAATTGGTTGCTGCAGATGTTCAGGTTAAGATTCAGCATTAGCTACTTTTCCACCAGTTGAATTCTGGGATTTTTTTGAGAAGAAGGAAGTTGACAACGACAATGCGATTTCTCTGTCCTCTCAGTTGCTGTCTCCATGCAAAAATCAGCCCTGTCAGGACTTTGCTAAAATGTTAGCTAATCACAACCATTTTGGCAGTGAGTGACCTCACTGGTGAGTATTAAAAGGAATCAATGGATATAATTATAATTTAATACATTTCATTCTGTCTTCGTTTGTCATGATTTATTCCATTGAGGAGACCAGGAAAGTGGCTGCATGATGTAAAAAGCGGCATTCAGTGACCCGTTTTTCACAGTGATCTTTTGGAGACCACAAAACGGCGTATATTATGGCATTGTGTAGGGATTTCCACCACATATTTTGATGTTTAGAAACAGCGATTTAAAAGCAGTGTCAACATTGCTTATTTTCTTTCTGTTCTGCTTCATCAGAAACTCTTCCAATTTTACAAATGCTGGCTTTTTGCTGATAGACTTTCCAGCTGAGTTACAACCAATCAGCACGAGTTGACCACAAGTCCTGCCCAGCGGCTATACTGGGCTATTTCTGAGTGAATACACCAAGGCAGATACTTCGTTGGTTTTTGAAACGGCCCAGAACGAGATCTTTTCTAGCCGACCCAGTGGAATGGAAACACGTATACTGTGAATGTCCGCTAACATTAACTTTAAGTTTCCGTATTGGAAACCGGCATACAGTCAGGTCCATAAATATTGGGACGTTGACACAATGCTAACATTTTTGGCTCTATACACCACCACAATGGATATCAGATGAAATGAACAAGATGTGCTTTGTCAGCTTTTATTTGAGGGTATTTACATCCAAATCAGGTGAACGGTGTAGGAATTACAACAGTTTGCACATGTGCCTCCCACTTGTTAAGGGACCAAAAGTAATGGGACAGAATAAGAACCATAAATCAAACTTATACATTTCAATACTTGGTTGCAAATCCTTTGCAGTCAATTACAGTCTGAAGTCTGGAACACATAGACATCACCAGACGTTGGGTTTCATCCCTGGTGATGCTCTGCCAGGCCTCTACTGCAACAGTCTGTGTGAATGTGAGAGTGTGTGAAAGCGTCTTTGAGTGTCCTAAAAAAGCGCTATATAAGTTCAGTGCATTATTATATAAGTGCATTCTGGAGGCAGCGGTTTTTTAAAAAACACCTTTTTTTCTTACATTGAACTAAATAATTACACTGACTAGGGTTGGGCATCGAGCTTCGACTGGAACCGGTTCCAACTGTTAGTTTTTCCCTGAATCGTTCAAAGTTTTTTATTTCGATTCCTAGAATGCCGATGGAAGAGGAATCCGCGGCTGATCTCCGTGAAAAATAAACGTGATCTGCAAATTGTTATTAACGCTTTTCAGAGCTGATCACACCAGCTGTCAGTGTGCAGCATGAGTCCCCCTCCCCCCACCCAGCGCACAGTGGCCAAATATAAACAAACGCATCTGCCGAACTTTTACTCCGTAATGTAAACTTTAACTCCTCCAGCATAGAGGAAACTTGTTAAATACGTGAACACGGTGGATTTACTAGAAGCTTTAAAGAACAAACTCTGCACGATGTGAGGTGAGTTTGTCTCACTGCAGAAAAAAAACACACGGAGCGTCAGCAGTCAGACGCAGCCAGCTACATTTAAGTTTCACTTCCTGTTCTGACTGAAGCTGCTGCAGCATGGAGCTGTAGTTCTCAGTCATCCTGGACATGATCATCCTGAGAGTTTTAGCTGAAAACAGCTGGACGTTTCTGGATATGTTGGAGACATTTAGCCTCATCCCAGAGGCTTCTTCCAGACTTTGGTTGTGGTCAGAAACAAACACACTGGTTGTGCTGCAAGTCTTTTGTTTTCTTCTCCAAAACTTGTTCTTGTCTAAATGAAGGTGATGTTATTGTTCATAGAATTAAAATTCATGTTGAAGTTAAGATTATTTCATCAAGTAGGACCTGTGGTTAGCTGGCTCATGTAAAACATGCTATGTCTTGAAAGAATTTGAATCGGGAATCGATGGAACCGGAATCGAAACAAGGAATTGGAATCGGAATCGTTCAAAATCAAACGATGCCCAACCCTAACACTGACATTTCATTATTTTACTAGACAAATTAGGAGTCAGACTCAAGCAGGAGAGTCATGGCACACTGACCTTTTGCTGGTCTCGGTTCGGTTTGCCATGCCATGTTCTGCCAGGCTCAGTGCTTTGATATGAGACTTTTTGTGTTCCAAGGATGAAAAAACTAAGAATAAACAGCTCCAATGCTGGCTCTTTGCTCACCCTTTCGTGTCTGAGCGCATTTGCTCGGTCATGTGATGAGCTCATTTCATCTTCTGCAGTCGCCCAGTAAAAATATTTGATAGTGGCGGACTTGCGCCATCTAGTGGCACCATATATATTGCACGCAGTGCAGCAGAAGGACTTGATGCAGTTAACCAGGCAAAACTATTTTACCCGGTTACAACAAAGAACCGGTTAATGATGGACATCCCTGTTTTATAGCCATCCTCTTGTAGATCATTTTCCTTATTAAAGGAGGTAAAGAACAAACAAAACAGCAGACCATAAAAGCAGACAAGGAGTAGAACAACACCACAGACATATTTTGAAGACGGCTCTGTGGAAACATTTACTACAAGTTTGATGTAACTAGAAAAAAATGTAGCACGTGTAAAGCCATGTGCTTGTTGGCATACTTTATGTCAATTTTTGTGCAAAAAGACTCAAAATCCCCTTGAACCACAATAAAGGTGTGGTATTATTATGTTGTCTCTCTTCAGGCACATCTCAGAGAGCTTCAGCAGGCCGCAGAAGATCTACAGATCAAATTAGAGGAACACAGATGGAGAAAACACGAGACGGACCTACTCCAAGAGCAAACATCAAAGGCACTGGAAGCAGGAGATAATGGTAAAAGTATTTAAATACATGTGCTCATTTCACCAAATTGCTGCAGTTCACACAGTTGGGAGCAGCTTCCATTTCATTGCTGCTCAGCTTTTAAAGAAAAGCAGGCAAACTGTAGGAACTTGAGTTAGATTCTCAGAATGACAGTTGGTAGAACATCAGAAAAACCAGGAAAAGGTTAAGTGAACAGACTCCTCTACAGCGAAAATTAATTGACTCAGAGAGGATTGCTGAGCAGCAGCAAAATGCGTTCCTACAGCTCTCCTTTTCCGTCCCTCAAACCTTCAGAGGGAAGTTGCATATGAGTCACAGGAAAATTCCCTTATCGCTCCGAGCACAAGCTGCCTTGGCATTTAAGTGATGTCCTCCTGACTCGCACATGGGAATGTTCAGAAAGTTGTGAGAGCGGATAAGAAATGGCCTGGAGGATTAACTTGTGAAAAATATGTGTGGGCAAAGCGAGTTAAAGAGAAAGGCTGGGTTAAATTAGTTAAAAGTTCCTAACTTTCAAACCGTGGAGGAATAAATACTAAAATAACTTGTTTTTGTAGTCTGTAAAGGTCAGATTTAAGCAGAAAAGTATACAAAGTTAGTGTAATTTTAAAAAGTAGTTTCTCATCGAGTAGTTTGCTTTTTACTGTTTTTTTATGATGTACCTTTCCACCGGAGAAAAAAGCGCTGCTAATCGGCCACAAAACATACTTTGCGGTAATTTGCCGCCGTTATAGTTCCTTTCCATCGGCGACGAGGCATTACATTTTGGATGTGTCCAAGAAGAATAGGGATTACTTTTTGAGTAGATTTTTTTACACACTTCTCTTCCAGAATGCGTCAAGCTCTGCGGTTTCAGATGGGTCAGACAGGAAGTAAAACACAACCTGTGTAAAACATCCGAAAACTTTCAAAATAAAAGGCATGTACAGATTTTCAGTACCGGTAGATTAACTAGTAAAAGGTACGTGATTTCTCGTGAAACCTTCGTAGCCGAGGTAAACAGAACAGAAAATAAACCACAGACTTTTCTGGATACACGCAACAATCTTCCTCCTTTCCTCCCATTGTGTGAACTTCTGAAATCACACATGGTGTTGCAATCCTTCCGTGATCTTGTGACCTTGTGAAATCAGCTGCATGAAACACTTTCACTCCCGTTTTGCGTCTGACACGCTCCCGGTTGGTAAAAATGTCTATTACATTACAACCATTCATGCATCAGGTGGAAAGGAGGGCTTGGGTTATTTGTATAATAAGTCTCTATTTTTTTCAATTTACGTTTGATGTGACACTTAGTTTTTGGTCTTTTTGTAAACATATCCATCAATTCAAATTCAATTCAAATTCAAAGATTATTAATCCCAGAGAGAAATTAGAGTTTCAGTACACACAATTCTGAGATCAGACATACATAGGCAAAGACACATGACAAGAATTCGTTTCAGCCTCACAGGCTCAAGGGCACCAGATTCAGATAAGAAATAGTTTTGGGGCCAGACAGAGATAATTTCTTATCTGTCTTAAAGTTCCGCTGGTCCTCAACCCCTCAAAATCCAATAATGGCGTAAATTAATCTATCCCAATCCGTGCTTATTCATCCACTCGCTCCTTGATCGCATCCATCTTTTGTGCCAGAGCCTGAATCTCAGCCAAAGTTCCAAGCTTATGACTCATCTTGACAATTATGAGTCTGTGCATTCACAGCGTGGTGTAATCCATCCCTGAGCTCGGGGAAAGAGCCAAAATTCCTCGACAGTTTGTTAATTTTCCGGTAAGCCAGGTAACCTCCCAGGCCAAAAAGCAGGAAATCCGACACCAACACCACGAATATCCAGACGTCTTCAGAATCCTCTACAGACAGTTGAGATAAGCAGATCAGGTTCCACTGTTTCTAGGAGTCCATGATATGCACAACTGGATCTGTCCCAGAGGGGCAACTGGGAGCCCCTTCTCCCGTTCTCATCGTTGAGAAAATTTTGTCAATCGTGTTGAGAGACCAACTGACCAGGTCCGTTTTTAATAATTTCCAGTTTCCAGAAAAAATGTAGAAGCACCATACACCCAAAGACAGACAAAGAGCCTTGGGGATAAGATAGGGAGGAGAGGAGGAAAAAAGTGTCTGTACTCTCCAAGAGCCGTAAGAAGGAGGAGATATTTATCCTCTGGAACATTTGATTTGACGTTTTTTGAGTAATTTTGCAGTAACAGTGGGCACCCAAGAAAAAGATGTGTTTCTAAAGCGGCACCAAGGTTTTTTTTTTTACACTTTAACAATTTCCTTGAAAAGTGGGTTTCAGTGATTGTGTTGGTTGAAACTTTACCAACTTCACATGGGACAGCACTCAGCAGCTCTGGTGACCAGAAACCGTACTTAACAGTTTTGTAATGCAATTAGGTGTCCTAGGGAACCCTGTTTAATTGCTGTTAGCTATTTTCTGTGCTGGTAGCTATTTTAAAGGCTAGCAGTTAGCTTTTTCAGTTCACAGATACTTAATTAAAACACGGGATGTTTCTCAGTGTCAAAGCAGTGCCTTGTGTGTTGCTTATGAGGACATGGTCCATTCTTGGTCAAAGGCAACAGCTAATTGGACAGACTTGCCTCACTTGATTGCGGCTCCCGCGGCGTGAGTAAATGTATTTAAGCGAGTTACTACCTGCTGACAGTTGTATTTCCACTTTCAACCAGTAGGGCAGAGAGGCTGGAAACTGTTTAGTGTTATAAAAACAAATAAGTAATTTATAAAAATGTTCATCTAGGTCTACGCCGTGTATTGATGATGCATGAACAGTTGTAAAAGTCTGCTGTAAAATAAATAGCCAATCCATTGTCTGTCAGGTTTATCCGTTTTCTGTCTCTTGACCTTAACGCATAAACACTTATCGACATATAAACTGTTACAAATGAATTAATAACATCTGTAGATTACTAGTCATGTATAAGGAAGCCTTAATGAAAATTGGTAGAAATTTTTAAGCAGAAATCACAGATGTTATACAGGAAACAGAGTAGCGGTAAAAATAAGTTTAGATTCACTAATCTACTCCTGCTGGCTTTGGAAAACCTTAGGATCATTTCAGTTTTGGTTATACAAATAAAGCCACCTTAATTTGAGTAAAATATAAAATAAATCACATGTGAGGACCCCTTAAAGTAAAGTGTACCCCTGAGGGCAGAGGTTCAATGAGGTATCAGTCATATACAGGAATGTCAGATCACAGATTGTTCCATGAATGAGTTTTTTAATGGGCCATTCCCATCTGTACCGGGTCGGCCCGGGCCGGGTAGCGTAGGTTGTTTACATATCTGGGTGGCCTGGAATTTTTCCGGGCCAACCAAGGCTCATTCTCAGCCCTCTTCTCGAGGGGGTCTGCTTCAGGCCGACCAGGGCCAACACACCCACTGCTGACAGCAAATTCACACCTTCCATTAGAGCAAGCCTCTGATTGGTGGGTAGAATCAGCCCACATGGGCTTAAGGCAAGGATGTGTGGAATCAACCGGGCCAGGCTGGGGCCGACTGGGGCTACCCGGCCCGGGCTGACACGGTACAGATGGGAATGGCCCATAAGTCTGTCACTTTCTGGCCCTAATGGCTCATGTCAAAATAGGAATAAAAAGCCACAAGAACAGGCAGCTGAGCCTGCACACGGATACCTCCCACCTCTCTCGCCGCCGCCGTCACTCAAACATGTCTCCAGGGCTTCACGCACAGTTATTGAGATGTTTAAAAGGACCAGGTTATTTGTACCCACAAAGAAAATTAGTTTCTGGCAGCGCAATGCGTGTGTGGTACCGTAGGAGAGCGACAAAAAAATTGAACTATGGAGAGCTGGAGATATTAGACGTGACAGAAAAGCAATCTAAGCTCATTTGTTTGGCACGCTGTAGCATTCACCGGAAACTAAAACTATATTTGCCATATATCATTCTTTTAAGCAGCCCTGATGTTTTATGAAACTTAAATCAACACACCACGTTCAACATACGTTTATTAGGCAAATACACAAAGATTACTCTGGCTCAAACAAATAACAGGCTGAGCTGTAATGTACACATTTATTAGATGAGCAATTCATATTGTGCAAAGCATGTTGGGAACGCTGGAGTAAATCCTCAGTGAATAAAAACACTTTGTTCTTCTCAGCTAATGAGAGGAAGATGTATCGTGATAAGCTGTGGGTTCAGACTTAGGTCTTTTCTTTATTTATTGGTATTTGTTTCTTAATACCAGGGTGTAGTGTTTACATTTAGCTGCTCTTTATAAGGCTACATCTAATATTGCAAAGTTCACCCACAGTTTAAAGGGATTTCCTCTGCTTCTTTTACGATTGACAGCCAATCGACGTGCAAAGTGTCTGTGATGTTCTACAGTAGGGCTGCACAATATATCGTAAATAGATCGTTATCGCGAAATCAGCATGCACAATATGCATATCGCAAAGAACAGACAAATATTGCAGTGAATGGTCAGCTCAAATGTTTGCTAAATAATGTATTCTGTCACTCAAACAAAAGCATTAGGTTTATCTAACAAATCAAATAGAGCTCTTCACCCATTTGGCCAAATGGGTGGGTTCTCATAGGCTAGATGTCCGCCCCCGAGCCGGATGGCATTTAATTTTGATGGTTAGCAAACACCTGAGTTAGCTTTGTTCTGCTCTTTTTGCTGATTCAGCTTTTCCCAGGATCCACTGATTGCCTTTTCTTGTTCATTTTTCTTTTTCCCTTTCCTCACATCTTTTACTTTTTTAATTTTTATGAATTTTTTATTTTTTGTTTTGATCATTTTTGTTCCTGAGTTAACGTTTTATTTATTGCCAGTAATATCGTCATCGCAATGTTAATCATTGTTATATGGAATATTGCAGGTTTTCCTGATATCGTGCAGCCCTATTCTACAGCAAGATGGCAAGATTTCATTTTAGTTGTCAAATGTAAAAGAACATTCCTGAGAGACCTCTTATTGTTTGAACTGATTTGTTTGTTTGACTACTTTTACCATAATAATACAGTTTCTGGTTTACCAGTAACCTATGAGATCAAAATCTACCCGTACATATTAAAAAATACTCGCAATGATTTTTGTGAATGGTGTCACTAGGAACATGAATAAAAATCACATTTAAATAGCTTTTGGGCTCAACATTTTGGTGACTCTGCACCATTCTTTTCTTCTGTTTATCTGAAATTTTCTTGGTCTGCCGCTTGGAGCCTTAACTTGAACTGTGCCTGTGGTCTTCCATTTCCTCACTATGTTCCTAACTGTGGAAGCAGACGGCTAAAATCCCCGAGACAGCTTTCTGTAGCCTTCCTCCACACCATGATGGTGATCAATCTTTGATTTCAGCTCATGTGAGAGTTGTTTTAAGACCGCCCATGTTGCTGCTCTTCAGAGAATATTCATGGAGGAGGGAAACTTACAATTGGCCCCTTAAGTTCTCTCTCTCATAAATGGATTCACCTGCGTATGGAGGTCAAGGGTCACTGAGCTTACCAAACCAATTTTGAGTTCCAATAATTAGTTCTAAAGGTTTTTGAATCAATAAAAAGACAACGGTGCCCAAAGTGCTACCTTTTCTCCTGCATACACTTAACACATTTTAAAGCGTCAACTGTTTTTTAAACATTTTAGAGATATAAACATGTGAACTGTGTTGATCAACAAGTTTTAAAGATCCTTGATGTCCCACTGGTTTACATGGAAATGTGGTGTTATGACATCCTGGTAATTTGTTCAATACTTTTATATACAGTTATTGTTAAAAAACAACAAATACTGAATTATTTTTATGGAAAAACAAATAACATTTGTTGGAGGCCATCCATCCATTTTCTTCTGCTTATTCTTTGTTTTTCTGAGTGTAACAAAACTGGATTCTTCCCTAGCTCTGAAACAGACAGAACACATCTATTGGCCTACAGATGCTTAGTTTTAACCCTGCGTTTCACCTCAAAGTTCACTATAAAACCAGTTTTAATTAGTTCATTTCATTTTGCTGCTCGCCTAATGCTTGAACCAGTGTCAAAAACCTAGTAAACACTCATCACAAGTCTCTGTAATTGTTTGATTAGCTTCATTTTTGTAAAGACATGCATTCTTTTTATTTTGATCTGTGTGTCATAACTTTTACTAGAAGTTCCTCGCAGCACAGTAACTTTGTCTCATTGTGACAACTGTCTTGCATCAGATTGAACTGTATACAATCAATGTTTGATAAAATCCCTCGCCACCATGTGGGGGAAGTTCTGTGAAACTGGGTGGCAACTAATCACAACTGTATAAATAAACCCAAACTGCTCGGTTATTTATTTTTAACACTCTTCCTGCGCCGCCGTGTTTTCTGAATACGATGTGCCGTCTGAGTCATTCTGCTGAGCGTAAACCCCTCAGCATTACACGTAAAATTTAAGTTAGCATAGTTGTTTTCACTTATTGTCCTCCGTTTTATGTCATCGCCTATTCTCAGTAAAGTAAAAGCTCAGGTCCGAACACACAGGCCTCTGATCTGGTTTTATTTTTTCACTTTTTATTTATTTCTTATAGAAATAGGTAACGTTCGTCCCTCAAATATTGCTTGTGGTGTATACCAGACAGCATAAATGTGTGTTTTTCTTTGCCTTGGAGTGCAGAGACCACGTTAACAAAGAAAAGAAAAGCTCTGAGTGGATAACGCGGTCTGTAGGCTAGCCATAGATCTGCAGACTCCTGCTGATATGTTCCATTTTCTCTGTTCTCAGTGTGCCTCTCTTATTTTACGAGTGCGCTCTGATATCACCAGGGCAACATGGGTGGATGACTGATGGTGTCCATTAATAAACATAGCCTCCTATATGTGCCATCGGCCTAAAGAGCCAATGTCTTAAACCATCTCCTCTTTTTTGTTCCCTCCCACTTTCCTACCTCTCATTCATTTTCGTCTTCTCTCTTCGATCTTCCTCTTACCTTTTACCTCCAACTGCTCCATCTTTTACTTCCCTCCCCTCTCTGTCTTCCCTTTTCCATCTCTTTATGGCTGTTTTTCAAGGCTGCAACTTTGCAGTCAAGAGAGGCATGAGACCATCTATCTCCTTCTTTTCCTGCACTCGTTCTTTTTTTGGGGAGAGGGAGACGGCGACCAGAGACCAGAGCAAAGGGTAAAGAATATTGAGCGCTACGTTTGGAATTGAGAGTCATTCAAGCCAAAAGAAGGGGCCGCAAACGTGACTGATGCTGTGTGTATTGCAGGATCATTTTAGCAAAGAGTCAACATCACAGGTGAAGAATCAGACCTACCCATTGACATTCATGGTTTTCGCTCATAAGTGACGAGAAGTTGAGCCTTTAAAAACTTTTAATCCTTAAATCATGCTGGCTTCTGAAATGGGTATTGAAAGTTAGCTGCCTCTACGGCACACAATGGGTTTAATGTCTTTGTACTGTACACAGTAGAGGAAAAAAATGCTAATTTCACAATTAGCTTTTCTGTAATTAGCACGGATAGGTAATTGCGGCGGATGTGCAATTAGCATTATGTAAAGTGCTTTTCCCCAGACTTCAAGGCCAATCAGTTTGCCCCCTTCACGTTCTGGGTTCAGCTGATGATTTTTTGAGATGCTCAGCGCCAAACACGAGAGAACTTCCTCCCCACTAACCTCCACCCTCCCCCTCCTACTCCAATGAATGCGCATCACAAAACGAATCAGCTGGGGTCACATGCTTGCCGGTGAGGGCTTAGGAAGTTTTTGCATCTCCTTTTCATCTGCTTCTGAATATGAACGGGGAAGAGGGAAATCACTGTCATAGCAGCCGTTATGGCACAAAGCCTCCTGATTGCATTCTGGACTCTGACACGCTCTTTTTTTCCTCCTACAGTGAAAGCAAATGTTCTTGCTCAGCATGACTGACTCATTGCCTGATTGCCTTCTCTACTCTCATATTTTTAAATCCAGCTCTAACACCCCCCCCCCCCTTTTTTTTTATAACCCCCTTGCATCTGTGGATGCAAGGGGGATCTGTGTTAATATCAGTGATTAAGGACAAAATCGACATGATGTTTGTAATAAAATGATTAGCACCTAATTATGACTGGTTGCTCTCTGATCAGATGTTTCTTTTTAGGTTCTAGACACCAGAATGCCTCTGTAGCCGGTCTTTTCCAATTGCTGGACAGCAACAAAGATGGCAGGTAAGTGATGCACCGGCTCTTTACTATTGAATACCTTCATTACCCTTTATGACCTATTTTAATGACTGGATGTTGCCTTGGAACTCTTGCATGATTTACTGTGGAAACATCTTGTAATAAACATTTGGTTGCTTTGTGTTGGCAGATGTTTCTCCATAAAAGAATTATTTTTATTCCCCAGATGTGTCCTTTTAAACACCCAACACAAAAGAATGAAAATCAATGTGTAAAAAGAAACATATTTGAATTTGTTTTGTTCATTTTATTCCAGTGATTTTTAAATTTTTATTAAAGAGACCCTATGCAACTTTTTCATAATTTTAAAAAATTTTCTCAAGCCAGTTTGTGCTAAAATGACTTTTTACAGGATTAATGAAAGACCACCCAACCCCTATCGCCCCCTGTGGCCAGAATATTCTATTTGCAGCTTCAGACTTGCCGGTCCGCTCTGTTGGGACTTAAAAAAAATTGAGCTGACATACCTGGTGCTGCAGTGTGCTTCCAGCATGTTTCCTGCATGTTTTAGATCATGAACATAGCTGCTTTGTTTAATTTAGTGATGCATCACTCCTGTAGACATAAATGAAGGCTGGGGAGATGTTTCAGCTGTTAGATTAAGGTGTTAAAAAGACAAACGCACAGTGAGGAAATTTTGCTTTTGATTCTACTAAACAGAAACTAGGGGGCGCTAAAAGCAAGCCAAAACTGTCTCAAAACTGTCTAGTCTGCCTTTAACAAAGCAGTGTTCCTAAAAGTTTGTCAGTTACATAACTTGTTTTGCTAACAGACCTCAAAATTTAAAGTTGCATTCCATTTATTTGTCCAGTTATTTTTTCTTCTTATTTATTTCCAGTTCAAAGTCAGAAGACCAGTCAGTCTTGCTAACTGTGGAATTAGTGATGAGGCTAAGGGTGTTTCATAATGTCAAGGAACATCGCCTTGATGCCCCGGTCCCGCCCCAATTGCCTAGGACAGTGGTTCCCAACCTTTTTCCCAAGGGACCCCGTTTTTTACCAGTAAAAATTTTGACGACCCCCTCCCATTCTCTCTTCCAGTACAAACATTATTAAGAAATGATCAAATTGTTCAAGCACATTTTAATATGCTTTGATTCAATAGATAACAGTAATAGTAGGCTCCAGTACAGAACAGTCATTAACAAAACCAAACAGAGCATAATGTGCTTGACAGTTTGTATTACTTTTCTGAGCACATTGTTTCTTGTAAACACTGATAAATCAATCATTCCTTTCAATAAATGTTTGACACATAAAAAATACACTGAGCAAAATGTACATAAATGTGTATATTACTGTTTATACTAGATTATTTACTGTAAAGGTTGTGATTAAGCAACCAGTCCTATCTTTACTGAACTTTTGACACTTGAAAATAAAACAGTGAACTGAGCAAAATGTTCTTAAAAGTGTGTTACTTTTTCTGTACTAATTATTTCCTGTCTTAATATCAGTAAACTTTTCACTCATGAAAAAAATGTGAGCAAAATGTAGGCTATAAACAAGTAATAAATGAAGTTTTAACCCCTTAAAGTGGAGAGGTCCTGGCGACCCACTGAGAGGCTTTGGCGCCCCCCTGTGGGGGTCGGGACCCCCAGGTTAGGAACCACTGGCCTAGGAGATACGTCATCAGGAACCGCCAGCTGTATTCTGATTTACATGTGCTGCTGAGGCGGCTGTCCTCCATATGTTAGCCGTTTAGCTAACTGACCAAGGATAAATGGGAGGTGTCTTGTTACCCTCTCTTGGTCAAAAATTTCCCAGAATAGAATGCTGTATTTTCAAAAGGATGGCAGATCAGTAGCCAACAGCTACTTCGGGGGCAAATTTCCAGTTTAAATGTAAGTTAGCTAATTGTAGCTATCAGGCTATCTAACATGTTTTTTATATCCAAAACAGTTAGCTATGGTTGATTGTTTGCTTAGTAATTGCATCTTCGGTGGCTAGCAGCTAGTAACTCACTTACATGTTTAATTTAACCAATATATATATATATATATATACAGTTTAAAAAGTAAAAGCCCTGTTATACATTTATATTGAAACTTAACAAATAAAATATAAAGTTACCTCACATGTGACGAAGATTGGTTAGTGCCAGCTTTGGTGGCTAACTGGTAGTAAGTCACTTAAATATATTTACTCCTGCCACAGGAGCCGCAGTCACGAGGGGTAAGTCTGTTCCATTTAACCCTTTTCTCTGACCAAGGAGGGACCGTGTCCTCGTTAGCAAAGCGCCTGGCCTACCAAGGCACTGCCGTGGTGGGCCAGGTGCCTTTACATTGAGAAACACCCTAACATTTTATGTGTGAGGCAGCCATATTGGATTTTGAAATTGAGGCTGGTCAAGAATCTCAAGACTTTTTGAGTTTGAATTCCAACCCGAGGCGTCCTTTGGGTTTATTTTCCAAACTTAGAACTTGGGAATCCAACGTTCTGAGTCCCAATAGAAAGCATCAAAACGCTCTGTTCACATTTAGATAAAAATGTGCTAAAAGTTGTTTTTACTTCAACTTTTGCAATTTTCAATGTTGTATGATTTTATCTTTCTGTGAAAGCTAAGATTTATAAAAGGTTCTTAAAAGTGAACATTTTAAGAACCAAACAAGATGATTCCAAAGTTTAAGTTACTGCCCCAACAGGCCTGGCATGGGTTGTTCAGATTTCTGTTCTATGGTCTGATCTGGAAACATTGGTAACAATTTATAATAAGGGTTCCTTTATTGAGTTACTAAGTGCATTATTAAGTTTTAATAAACCAAGTAATAAATTATTAACTACGGCTTAACCATATAATGTAACGCATTACTAAGCAGACACCCACGCTTTGCCCTTTGGACAGTGAATAGTTAATATTGGGAACATTAATAAAGGGACCCTCATTGTAAAGTGTAACAAAAATATTTCTTAAAACAGAAGTAAAACTACTCGTTTGAAAATTATTTTAAATATCTATGGTTGGCGTCGAGGCCTAAAGCCCTTTTTTGAAAACCCACTTGATAATTAATGACTACCACTTGTTGGTTCAACCTCAGCCACACAGGAGCTGTGAATTCTCAGCTCACAGCCTCTCAGTTCCTTCTCAGCAGCCCGAGTTGACTAACTTGCAGCCATGATCAATGTTGGATGTCGGTCAGCTTTGCAAGAGATTGGCATCCAGCTGGCTTACAAGCGAGATGTGTAAATTGGACACTAGCAGGAAAACAGAGCACATGGAATCCAATAAGCTTGACTGTCTTTCAATTTTTTTCCCTCTACATCCATCCTCACTTCTCACATTCTTCTCTTTCCCACAACGCACTTCTGAACAAAAAGAAAGGAGAGAAAATCAACACTGCTTAAGCTAACTGGGCATATTCTCCAGAAATGGAATGGAGCTGGGCACAGCAAACCAAAAGTGCTGTAAAACATATGGCTTGGAGGACAAAAACGCTCGAGCAGCGTTTTTCTCAGGGAGAGCTTTATGCCCGTCTATGGTATCCTGCTATTGGATGTGTACCATTTTCAGTCCCTCTGTACTCCCCACCCCCCCACCCCCTGCAGCTCTGAAACCATCCATCCACTCAACCCTCCCTCCAACCAAAGTGGTGTCTCTCTGAGCTGTGCTTAAACAAACACATTACTAAGCTGAAATATCTGCAACTCCCATCATTTCCACACAGCCGTTGTCTCAGTATGACTTGCAAGCTGGATATCTTAATGCAGAACACGACGTCCATTTAAAATAAAGCAGGGCGTTTGTGTCTTTATGCTACTTTACCATTCCCTTTCTGCAAGACTCTCCAGCTCAAAGCATCAACCGTGATTTTGTTGCTTCCTTGATGAGAACGGTGACAAAATCCTTCCTGATGTTTGCCGTTTCCAGGCAGGTGCTTACCTGATTAGCATGCATGTTGCATACCTTTGTGTTGCACAGAAAAAAACAAGTTATTTGTCTGGCTTTGTCCCTAACGACACTTAGAAAAACGTTACCCCATTCTTAATCTGCTTCATTGGAATTGCTAATAATCTTTAATGCAGATTCGCAGATAATTATTCTCTCATTTCTACAAACACTAGCCTCATTTGTGTCCATTTAGTCACCGTAATTGCTTCATGACAAAAACTGCGGCCCTTTTATGTACATGTTGGCTTGAATCTGATTTAAAAACACAAATCAGATGATCAGGCGTGGCTTAATTATTTCTCTAAACACTGACTATATATAATTTATTTCATTAAATTATTATTATTATTATTTTTTACAAATCTCAGCTAAGTAGTTTTTACAGGTTGCACAAGACAGCCCTTGTTTATCATTGTGCTGTATGAGGAAAAGTTGATTCTGGTCTTCCCTTCCATTATGCGGTCCCAAACCATCCCATGCACCACACACAAGTGCAAGCCACTTGTGCCAGCTGGCAGGCAGTTGGCAGCCCAGTGCAGGATTAACTGGTACTAGTGTGCTGGCCTATAAATAGAGTCCACCAACTGCTTCAGGAAATGAACCATGATGGAGTCTCCCAAAGGCCCATGAACAGGTTGTGCTTTTTATCCACTCCCTCTCTGTCGGGATTTATTGCCTTGTGCATCTGTGAGCCTCCTAGTGTTCACTACTGCCTTCCTCGGTGAAACCTATGATAGGTGTGTGTGTGTAGCCAATCACTTACAATGCTGTGGTCTATATACATGCATAAATGCCCTGTGTGATTGGGGTCAAAGCCAATTTTGTTCTCAGCAGCTTTTCCTTTGTGCTGCCTCACAATGGTGGAAGCCATTGTTTCTCTCGAGCACTTACCCCCTAGCATTGATCTTCTGTAGTGGAACAGGCTATTCGCTTTTTGTGTTTTCCTGCACTTCCACTTTTGATACACTCCTGGGATTGATTCTGGCTGTGCAGTCATTATCTCGGCTCACTAGGGGCAGTTTAGACGTAACCTCTGGAAGGGAGACGTGAGCGGGGAAGGATGAATGAAGACAAGATTTAAGTGTTCTGGAGAAAAGATGGTCTGTGATTCTTAATGATGTTGTTGGACATATTTCAATAGGACAAAATGATGGAATTGTTTATCTCTACAATGGACAAAAGTCACTGTAGTTCCAAGTAAAGTTTACATGTAGTTAAGGATGGGTGATGTGACTATAGGGTTGCTATGGTTCAGTGGGAATGGGTCATCTGCCAATCAGAAGGATTGTGTTTCATTTTGGTACTTTTAGCATTTATAATAAAAATATGTAAAGGATTAGAGTTCATGATGTCATAGAATTACCCATAACAAAAAATATTTATAAAATGGTGTTGGAACTCCAGTACATCTACACAACATGACATGTACTTATTTGGTCAGACATATCTGGCGGTAACTGTTGTATCGATGATTTATATAGTCAGTTCACAGCAAAGGTAATCTGAAAGCCCTCTACTAAAACAAACAAGTCAAAATTAAAATCGTATCCAGTTTCAAGCCAGTTGATTGCAGTAGATTAACTCTACTGTAGATTACAGTTCATCCATGTCTATATCCATGGAAAGTATCCATATGGGCAGCAGTAGCTCAGGAAGTAGAGCGAGTTGTTGGCTTGGGCGGGAATCCAAATTTTAATACCATCTAACTTCCTCCACGTTTTACAGTGGTGTACGGTATTACCGGGACTAATCTAAAAATGATGACGTAAGCCTCAAGTGTTATTACCAAACTTGGTTTGGACCGTCATCGTTCAGAAACAAAATAACAAACACTATTATTAAAATAATAACATAACACATAAAATTAACTTTTAAAAAACACAGCTCATAGAAAGATTTATTTTGTCTGAAAAACCAGCCTGTTTACGTTTTCTGGCTTCAACCTGGGACGTTATGGACTGACTGCTGAAAACCCGCTTCGATGAGCTCGTGGCACCGATATACGGGTACTTTGGGGCTAGTTGCAACATCTAGGGAAGGCTGGCAGCCTATTTCTACCAGAAAGTGTGTTTTTTTTTTCTTTTAATCACAGGCTCCTAACAAAAGGCTATTATTTCAGCTCCGGCTCCCTTCTGTGCCGACGGGGCGTTTGTCTTTTGTGGTCATCTTTTGTTTGCACAAATTAACTCATCAGTGTTTACCGGCTCTCCTTTTAACACTAGAACTCTCAGGAACCGTTTGACGGCTGTCATTTTGGCCTTTAGATGCAGGCTGACGATGATGTTGTGGAGCAAAATGGTTCAAGTGCATGATTAACTCTATGGATGTGTGAACTTAATAAAATCGTAAGAAAATATAATTTTAATCCAAACCTTGAAATTAAGTCTCTCTATTGTTTGCTGGGTGACCGACACGGATCTTTTCCGTGGGTCCCAGATCCGTGTGTTCCGAGGGGTCCCAGATCGTCTTCCGCGTTGCTGTTCGAGTCTCTGCTGCTTCCTACTGACCAGTTTTCATCAGCTTTCCCCTCTCCGCCTGAAGCAGCTTTATTTCTCATGCTTGTTTCACTGAGAATGTTCTCCTAAAAGCAGTTTCAGCCACTACTGCACACGCAGTATGAACGGAGAGGAAGTGCACGCGAGCTGGAAAGTTGGCTGCTTAGCAACGGCGACGCTGTCTGTTGTAGGATTTGGTTAATTGAGTGCTTTAAGAGCTTAATATATTACCTCTACTTATGACCAATAAGCTGTGATACTCTATATAAATATAGAATATCAACCTGCTTGGTCTTTGTGTGTTTAATCAGAAGATTCTAGGATTCTTTGCTTTATTCAGGGATTGTAAACACTTTGTTTTGATTCAAGGAAAGAGTCAGGTTTGAAAAAATAAAAATTTATTTCCCAAACAATTAAACATGACAAGGTAACTAATATTTACTGTGATGGATGGATCTAAATGGAGTAGATGTGATGTATGGTGCCTATGTGTGAATGCGATGTTATCAGAACTTCCGTATCTAGGAAAACTGAGTTCTGGGTGTAAAAGAATTTGGTTTGCGTTAAGCTATGAAGTTGGTTGTTATCAAAAAGCATCAGACGCAATCACACTGTGTTCTACCTCACCCTTCGGAGACCCTCTTCACAGATCCGGAGGTCATCAAGGTCGGTTGATCTCTTAGCACCCAGGTCCAGTTGAGTGACCACAGCGCTGACTTCTCCAGTCCAGAGATGTCGCCAGGCACACAGGTTGGATGGAACGATGCACGATTGCGTCTAGACTCGTAAGGAGTCAGAACAAAATCAGCTTTGTTCTGCAGGAACCGTTTGCTGTGTCAGCTTCGCGACAACCTTGACGGCGTGTCAAGGCTGCTTCTTAGTTAAAGAGACTTCACCACAGACGACCGTTTCCGTAGCTTCCTCTAGAACTGAATGCTGAGTTATGAGAGCTGGAACTTGAACGAACTGCAACTGCTGAATCACCAGAGTGATTCTGTTTTAATGTTCTCATGTTATGATTTGTGTGGCCAACCAGAGGTTGACATGTTGAGGAATATTACCAAGACAACCTCAGAAAACACGCCTTCTTTCAGATACCGGATGCTCTGATCTGGGGTAAAGAAATATCTATGTGTCACATGTTTGACTTAACTTTACCTTGTCCTTGTGTGAGTAAATGGCGATGGCCTTGTCCTATCAATATTACTGATCCATCTATGAATTAGTGTAATCATAACATAACATTCCTTTCAAACTTCAGTCATTCAAACACAGATTAATGAAAGCATTTCATTTATATTATAATTATTATAAGTGACAATAAGCAAAGGTTTATATAATGATTATTTAACTTATAAGTTTTAAATGTTCACGTCATATTTAAGAATTCATTCTTTGATTGAGCGACTAATCCGAGTTGCGAGTGTACACTTTATTCAGAGGCATGAACAATCCTGTAGGACGATAAGGGAAGCTTGAGGCCTTGAAGAGGGAACATCATTGTTTTCAATACGTTATCATGTGTTCAGAGCTGCAGAGAGGCAGGCAGATTAAAGGAAACACATGCAGTCTCGTGTCTCCATTTTGACCAGATATTGAAGGGTCAAACTGTACTTAAAAACTGACCATTACTGGACATTGCATCGTCATCCGCTGGAAAACGTTACCATGTAAACAATAGAGCCGTCTTGTGGGAGACAAAGACAAAAACAGCTATATTTTTTGATACATTATTTTATGGAAATTATAAAGCAAAAATAAAGGGCACATAAAAATAGGAAAAGCCAGGAAGCCAGGTCAGCATGAGATCCATCTCACTAAAGTTATTACATATGAAAATATGAAAACAGTCAAAATGACTGCCTTGGGAGTCCTAGTGCTAAGTTTGCTTCGAACCTGAAATGCCCCCAAACTGCAGAAGTTGTGTTGTTTTTAGACATCAAGTCAGATGGTGCGCGAGCTGCCATTTATCGCTCGGCGCATCTCCGCACTGTCACAAGATGACATCATGTTCATAAACTTAATGGAACATTTCTAAAAGTTGGACAAAACATTTTAAACAATTAATGTAAAACTGAAAATTCAACCACGCACTTGTTTTATACATTACATGACGTTTATTTATTTATCTTGTTATTTAGTAGAACTTTGATTTTTTAAAAATCTTTTTCTCCTACATGCGCTGTTGTTTTTTTCATCACGTTTTGGAACTGACACCGTAGCCATTTTTAAACACCGGCTGTATATGGTAATACCGCCCAAGCCTAGCAGGTTGTCCAATAATCGGAGGGTTGCAGGTTCAATCTCGGCTCCCGACAGAGAATTCTGATGTTGTGACCTTGGGCAAGACAATTAACCCACTTTGCCTGCTGGTAGTGGTCGGAAGGGCTGGTGGCACTATGCCTCTTTCAGTGCGCCCCAGGGTAGCTTTTATTACGATGTAGTTCATCACTACCGGCGTGTGAATGTGTGTGAATGGATGGATCATACTCTGTAGTGCAAGCGCTTTGGAGTTCTCTGACAAGTGTGGGTCATTTATCATTCATCATTTATCATGTCAAATTTCTTTTACATGGAGGAACCAACATATTGAACCACAGTATGAAGGAAACAGTGGAAAGCAAAAAAGAATTTTGATTGGAAGACATTTTCAGCTAAACAAGAACCAGGCTCAAAATTCTCCTTGTACAAATGGCTTAATAACGTTGTTTTTTAAATTTTATTTCAACTAGTAAAAGTTGGTGTCACATGTCTGTATTTGTTATTTTTTAGGCCTAAAGTTGATGGTTATTTATCACTGATCTATAGAGCACACCCTCCTTATTGCTCTGCTGCAAAATTGCAGAAACTAAAAGGAAATCTCTTAGGTGTGTTCTTGCTGTGTCTTTGTAAATCCATGCTTTCGTTCTTTTTTAAACACAGAAACAGTTTTGTTTACCTGTTTGTAGCTACAGTTTCGCCGACAGCTGCCGGCTTCTTCAGGCTGACGCTGATGGTGGCGCGTCACTTCCTTCTCCGTTTATCTGCGGGCAGCAGAGGACGTTGTCGCCCTCTACTGCCCGCAACTTAAAAGGAAATCTGTCCCCAAATCTTATTTATTCTCTTAGATTGTTTCTTAGGGATATGTCTTTACAAAGGAAAGTAGTTTTGGTTGCATCTCGCTGATCATTCTAATAAAATTGTGATGACTCATTAGAATTGTGTTTTGTTTTTGCCAAATCACTTAATTATTATTTTGATCAGTGTTTCAGGTTTGTTTATCAGAATTTGAAGATAAGTGAAAATCTTGAAGTTGTGTACATTTGTACATTTACACAAGTTTTTCCAGTTGAGCAAGTGAAGTTGGGTCCGAGTTAGAGACACATACTGTAACCTAGACGACAGGTGTCTGTAACTGGTTCTGACCTGGATATGTTCATCTATTATTGATAAAACCTACTTCTACTATTCACCAAACAGCTGGAGGGATTACTAATATCATTACTTTGTAACCCACACAGAATATCGGTGGATGAAGTCAAGGCTAAAGTGGTGCTAGTTCATGAAGCAAAGCGGGTTCTCTCTGAGGATGAAGCACTGGTAAGTTATTTTTAAAAATGACTTTGAACCATATTTTGGCATTCTTTGAAATATTTTGTGTTACTTTGCAACATAGAAGAAGCCCTACCCTGCTTTCAAGTACCAATCAGTTTTTGTTGTGGTCAAGATATTCGACAACAGCAAAAGCCTAACTTCTGAATGCTAAAGTCAGATCATAGCTGTAGTTATTGGTTCTTTTTTCAACTCTCATTGTTTTCTCCAGTTTTCATTGAGCATGCTGCTCATGGGGTCGATGGGCACAACACATCTCCTTCCTTACAAAAACAGAGGCCACCAACTCAGGGTAGACAGATATATCCGTCGGCCGATATATCGGACTGATATTTGCCATTTTTTATGCATTGGTATCGGCCTTTATTTGTCCTTAGTAAAGCCGATTTGCAGTCAGACACATCCTCGGGCAGCTCGGTGTTGTTGCCGAATTGAGTTCAGATGTATTTTTATGTTCACTAATAACATCTGCAAAGTAAATATTTTAAATTAACTTTACTTCGGTGTCTGACTTTAACACTGAGCAGTGCACAAAGTTCAGATTTAACGGTTGGTTAAATTCAGATTTCAAAAACTGATTCAGCTTCAGAAATCTTTAGCATCAACCGATGTTAATAATGACAATTTAGCATGAAAATAAAGTGGAACATGTCTAGATATCGACCATCGGCTGACCAGGTCTCCTACCTATCGGTATCGGTAATAGAAAAAACAATATGAGTCGACCTCTATTTCCAACCACATTGCTTCACTTGGATGTTATAAAACTGAAAGCAACAATTTGTAGACATAGATACAGAATACAGACATAATACAGAATATGTTTGTGTGTTTCTGTTTCCTTCTCTTTTTTTAGGATTAGAAGGACAGAATTATCAGTCAGAACTGATTAGCTAATCTCTCATGAATACAGCTGCCTCACAAGGATGCCAGAAAGTGTTGAAAGAAGGCAATCATGATTTTATTTGTGGATTTTCAGCACTGGTTAGTATTTAAGGCATCAACAAAGTATAGAGCAGTGATTCAAAATTACAAGCTGCCCCCCCCCACCAGGGGTTTTTGCATTTTGTTTTTGATAAACCGCCTGTCTGATTGCCTGGGCTGAGCGTCGTCTCCACTTGTACAAATGGGCTCCCTCCACACTCATTTCAATTCTGAACAGGACAAACAAGCTTTCCCAACAGCGATTTCCCCCTCAAGCTGCTATGTGCGAGAACGCGGCTGTCTGTTTCACTTAAGGCTTGTTGAGCTTTCCTCTTACAAGACAGCACATTGCAACATCTCTTGCTGTAAACAAAAAGAGCTAAAGCTCAAATTTTCTTTTTACTTTTACAATTGTTTTCACCCATTAATAAAGTGCGGATTCTTGACCCATGCATACACTCACACACACGTCAGATGAATGAGTCCAGTATAGGACAGGAGATGCCCGTGTAGTGTTTGATAAACTGGATAATTATCTCAGTTTGTATATTGGGTTATGTAAATTGCTTTAAGAGCTATTTATATTATTAACACCACTTGAGACCAATAAGCTGTAATACTCTATTTAAATCTAGAATATCACCTTTCCTGGTCTTTATTTGTTTTAGTCAGAAGATTCTAGGATTCTTTTATTCATTAGGGAATTGTACACACTTCGTTTGATTCAAGAAACAGTCAGGTTTATAAAAATAAGAATTTATTTTACAAACAATTAGGCCTTGACAAATTGTTTAACTATTATTTACTGTGAGTGGATGCGAACTAAAGGATGGTGTCTGGAACTTATGTGTAAATATAATGTTAACAGAATCTCCGTATCTCAGAGAGCTGAGTCCTGGATTTAAAATAATTTGGTTCGCAAATAAGCCAAGTTTTTTCTTATTAAAAACATCAAGACGCAATCTGTCTGAAGTGTCTACCTCACCCGTTCTGGAGACCCCCGTCTGGATCCGAGATGTCAGAAGGAGTGATGACCCCAAGCACAAGATGGGTAGAGAAACCTTAGTGCAACCAGGTTGGTCCTGAGATGTCTCCGGGTCACAACGACTGATGTAACTGGTTGTGTCTTAAAAATAACTCTGAAGGAGTTTTGCAATATCAGCTTTGTTCTGCAGGAAACTATCTTGTTGTTATCAGCTTCGCAGGTGCAAAAAAGTTTTAAAGGTTTTGATGACGTGTCAAAATCTTTGCTGGTTGAAGAAGTTTGCTAAAGATGGCCGGTCTGAAGCTTGCTCTCGAACTGAAGGATTACTCAAAGCCATCTAGTTTTAAGGAATCAATATTATGATTTGGCCTGCCAATCAGGGGCTGACAAGTTTGAGAGATGTTACCAAGAATCTCTGAACCACACCCTCTTTGATCTGGAGACTATGAATCTGGGCAAAAGTTAACTATGTGTCATGCATTAACTTAACATTACTCTGTCTTTGTGTGAGTGCAAATGTTATGACGGAAAGAAGTAGAGGGAGGGAGGGAGGGAGGGAGGGAGGGAGGGAGGGAGGGAGGAAGGAAGGAAGGAAGGAAGGAAGGAGAGAAAACAATCTTTTATAAAGTGCCTTTCATGAAAAAAAATCATGAGGCGCTTCACAAAAACAAAAAAAATTGAAGCATAAAAAGCATTTCAAAAAATGATTAAAATATGTTTCAAATTAAAAAAGAAATAAAAATTGTGATAAAAAAATGTAAGGAAAGAGAGAGAGGTAGATGTGTAAAACAACGTTTATGAATGGCGAAAATTTTGTAACAGTTTGCGTTTATTCTTCACAGGCTCACGTAGAAAGAAACATTGTATCTAATATGGCGTCAACTTAGACCCGCACCCATGTATTTTAGACCTGATTTTTATGGTTAAATGTTACAAAGCTGCCAATATTTTTCAACAACTGGGCATCGTTTAATTCATTTTCAATAACTTTTCGATGGATGATTCCAGAGATGAATGGAAAATCTACACACTGTCTCTTGAAGTCAATACCATACATTTATAGAAACTGGGATTTTTCTTTTTAATTTACATAAGCCAGTTTTTTTGGATGTAATCTATTTGTTTTGTGTCTACTCTCCATAATTCAGTCATTGCTGTTTCAGATAGATGTTCCAAACATTTTAGTAATAATCCTACTAAATTGTCCATTTGGGGACTGCTTGAACCAACTAAAGACAAATTAGTTCAGATTACAACGCTCGAGGGGGAAACAAGACTTGAAAGGCTTTAAATGGAACAATTGGGTAAGGTAAGGTATACTCCATCACTGCTAACAAGACTATACAATTTTTGTTCTCTTTGTGAAACAAAGAATTTAAATTCATTAATATTTACTAAGCGCTTTAAAGAAAAGTTAAATAGACTCATGTGTCCATAAGTCCTATAATTAAAAATAAGGATACCAAAGCTTCACACCACCATCCACTGGTTCTAGAGACATGATGTGTGGGGATTATGTTTTTATGAGGTGAAATGGCAGCTTTTATTTTGCTATACAACTGCAAAGTAAATACTAGACGAACCAAAACCATTGAAGAAGAAATGTGACACAGAGTCTACGTTATTTATTCCATCTTTTTTTCTGTGTGTGTGTGAGCAGAAGAAACAGAAAGGCCTATTAGTGTTTTGTTGTAATGTCTGAAAACCTTGGTAGGTTTTCCTCATTCACAATCACAAATGGCAATCCTACACTTTTGTGCTCTCTTATTCAATTTATTTCATTTTCTCATCTTTTTTATTAGTTCCCCTGCTTCTTTTCCCTTTCTTCTAAGAGGCTTTGGCCTACCCAGAAAATTTAGTTTCCACTTCAGCGGCCCAGATAATTCGAGGAGGATTTTCAGGAGAACAATTTGATGATCAAAGGAAGAGCTATGCTTGGAAGGGAGTAAGGATATTCTGAAGTGGCTCTCCCTCTGTGTTCTAACATGACGTTATAGCCCTCCATTACTGTCAGAACTGCTCCTAAGGTGGACTTGCTCACGTTTCGATAATCATTGGTACATTGGTATTGGAGGCAAAAGGGAAGAGAAGAAGGAGAAGAGAGATAATTTCAGTAATCAAAGTTCAAGTTTGGCACCAAAGGAGCTTTTAGCGACCTTATTGAGGGAACAAAACCAATCTTTCATTTCAGCATTAATCATAGAACAATTCATTCAGACCTACTGATGTGTAACCAAAGTCGGACTGTACCAACGTGTTTGAGCTACAGGAAATTGCCTTTCCCCAACCAATACAAAGTTGCGCTGCGATGAATTTCACTTATCCATCTTCTACAAGCTCTCCTGCCTTTCAAACCCTCAAACTCATTCTACCAGAAACCAAGAGGCTGACAATGTAGCGTTTTTCTCTCTTTTCTTCTGTGGTGGAGAATGATGGTAATCCCCTCGATCAAAAAAAAAAACAAAAAAACAAAAACAAAGTCAGCCTTTGCTGTTTGTGCACTACTTGATAGCGATAAGAAGAGAGAAACGTAGAAGGAATTTTACTTTAGTAAGGGAATAGAAAAGAGGAACACCGTAGGTGCAGCAGAGATTTGGATTTCTCTGTGGTAGCTAGGTAACAGCTACAGAAACCTCCCTGTTTAACATTTTTATTACCCTTATGCACGAGGGGCTCATATAGACGTTAAAAGAGCTTACGTTAGTTAAACTGCGGCGGTGCATGGACAAATCTGGAAACGGAACATTAAAGATCTCATCAAAAAAAATCTGCTTACTACAATTCTTACAATTCTTGAGATGTGTAATACATTTTCAGCATCTGCGAAGATGAAAACATGTTTTTAGTTGGTAAAATAGTAAATTACCAGTTTTTGTAAAGTTATATTCAAGGACTCCAAAGCACTTTAGGACCATTTTGAAGACCAAAGGTGACAGATCATCTGCTGCAGTGGAGCTCTCTCCCCCTGAGTCTGAGATCAGTGGACTTAGTGGTCTCCTTTAAAAAGCTGCTGAATACTCACCTGTTCAAGCTGGCTTTGCTGTGACCTTCATCACCAGCCTCTCCTTATTCTGCTCTA